AGGACGGAGAGAAAAGCAAAGGGGTGGGGTGTGCGAATCCAATCTCCAGTGACAGTGCTCTCAGATCACTGTTTCAATGAAAGAACATATCATCTGTCAAAGTTAATGGCAGTGTCCGGGGGAAAATGAAGGAAAATAGAAGGAGACCATTCATTAAGAAGGTGGAGGGAAGAGTGTGTGTCCAAGCTCCACTGTCTCCCCGGGAAAATAAATATATACACAAGCCATTATTTGTGTGTTTACGAGGTGGCACTGCAGCCGCGATCAAGGGCCGGTTCTCATGCTACAGAGATATTAGCCCAGACGCCTGAATCCGTGGACTGGAGGACAGAGCGATCACCAGGAATGAAGAGGTTGTCGGCCTGGCAGGCTAGCTAACAGCCTCACTCAGAGCTGTGGATGTACTCAGTGGAAGCAATTGATACCATTGTTTTATGGAGAGGAGGGTGGAGTGGGATTAAGGACCGACAATAGGGCTCTTTCTCTGTAAATGTCAGCCGTCACGCCGAGGGACTGTCCGACTGGGCAGACACTTTTTAAAAAAAAGCCAAGGTAGAAAATGAATGTGGAAAATAGTATGAAACCCTGTGACGCGAGCAATGAAACTGTGTGACATGGGCCAGAACATTCCCGTGCCAAATGGTCGAAATGCAATCTCAAACATGGGACAACGGGCTCTGGGAAACTTTACAACCCTGATCATGTGAGATCCCACCAAACAGAAACACAAGGCCTTCAATTTATTGTTTTTTTCAGGATCTGTTTGTCTTAAAGAAAAAAAATCAGTACAACTCTGCAGATATATGTGTCAATGATTTCAAGGTCTAGCTTGAAACACATTCCAAATCAATAACCAGGATAATAGGTTATATGGGTCTTTAGCTCAGCCTCATTAGGAAAAAAGGAGACAAACGTGGCCTAAATCTTCAGGCAAATTAACATAGTGAGGAACCTAAAATACCACAACCGATGATCCATTCTGGGCCATTTTATCATGAGACTACACAACAGAGAGATACAAAGTTATCTCTCTGAGTGCTTTGATAACCCCGCTGGCCTTGGACCTCTTTGAAAATCTCACTCTGAAGGTTTGAGGTGAATATAAAGTACGAGTTGAAGTGAGGTACCCTGCCGCTTTAAGACTGGGATGAAACCGAGTTATTCTACCGCTCTGACCTAATTGCTCTCTCGCTCTCCCGACATGAACACTGGGAGCTGTGCACTCTGACACGTAAAGATTATTTAATACCATCAAAGCCATAAAAGAGGAATAAAAGGCGGCAGTGAGAAAAAGGGGGGTAGTTAACCACTGGCAGGCTGGTAGGGCTGGGGTGTCCACAGAGTGATGAGGAGAGCAGCAGAGAGAGTATCAGTATGCAAAGCGGGCCTGCGTTACTGCCGCCGGCCGACGTGAGCGGAGCTCCATCATCCCAACATCACAGCGGCTCCACAACTCCCCCTCCAAAAAAAAATCCCACTCGGCTCCGGCTACACTCTCCCAGTATCGGCTCCCACCCTTCTTCTCTCCTGCCTTTTTCCCACACTCGCCCAAGTCCCTAAGGCAGGTACTACGTCATTGGGCACCACTGCCAAACCACTGTAATATACCGTTTTATTTCTACTTATTCAGACAGAGTTGTAGGGCTCTTTCATTAAGGTCAGGCTGGTTTTATTTGTGTAAATGTACATTGCTTGGTTCCACTGAATTCCATTTGTAGACTGTTTTTCTACAAGGCCAAAGATTGACAAACTATTGACAAATCAAAGTCAGAATCAGAGTCAAGTTTATTGCCAGGTTTACACATACAAGAAATTTGCTTTGGCGTCTGGTGTTGGAAACATAAACCATCTAAGGAAATAAGTTGTAAGCGTAGGTCAAACAATATAACGATAATAAAAATAAACTATTTTTAAGAAACTATTTATCATCAAAAAAGAATAAAGACAAATATTTACACCAAATGTTTATTTAAACAAAAGAACCTAAGAAAACCTATGACAATGAATGTATGACACAGTACAGTGCATTCTCTTTTTAAGTGCAGATCAGCACATCACGTCATAAAAGCTATTCCACCGGAAAGCAAAACGCTAATTCTGCAGTGTGGTTTTTCTCTTTAAGAACTTCCTGAGCTACTAGCAGGCAGAATCTGACAGGGTGTGTGGGTGGGACTGGGTACCGGTGTTTACCGTTAAGCGAGCACTGGGTGACATCTCCAGGGTGCCCTGCCATTGTGGGGAGCATGTCTCATCTGTCAGTGCCTGATGAGTTTGTGCTGCACAGCCTCATGAGTCAGCCGTGTGCGTCTACAACAGGGAGCCGGCTGCTGCTGAGGGCCAGGCTGTGTGTAGACCACCACACACCAAAACCACCTGACACACACACTGAGGGGCTTCTCAGGGAAAGTGAGGTCAAGTGCCAAAAAACAGGAGAAGCTTGCTAAACCTGTATTTTCACCCCTCTCTATTGGTACCGTTAACATGTTATTCGACCGAGATTAAAACGATGTTGCATGATCAACAATGTGGTGACCTACTGAGCTGAATGGATGACACCTGGCTATAATCCGAGAACGGGATAAACACTGCGCCCGCTTTTTTTTATTTGCCATCAATATGAAAAAAAGGTCACTTACAACATCTACATTCAACATACAAAGCAGAGGCTCGCTTTAACCATGGCCGTATAGATAAAATAAATAATTTGGAGTCATTTAATGAATACTTAAAAAAACAGAAGAGGGGTCATTCTTGTCAAATGTCATGTTAGTAATGATTTTAAATACTTAGTAACATAACAAAATAGAATTAAAAAGATGATAGTGTTCTCTACCTTGCACATTGAGTAATTTTTCCATAAGAATTTATTATTTTTAAGCATTTCTAAGCATTTTTTAAGGAAATACTTACTACCACAACATGCCCAGCTCTGCCTGAATGGGTGCTATGTTTCAGTTTAATAGACCCAATTAACTAAGACCTTATTTTTTACTTTTCAAAATGTCCATATTTGAAATATTTGGATTTTATGAAAACCACCCAGAGCGGAACCAGCCGGCAGATTGACTTGCCAGTGCCAAGTATTCTCCACACAAATGTATCTTTGTGAACAAATTCCTCATCACCTTTTATAACCAAGTCATTTGTTCCACATGTGATGAGAAAAACAACATGAATACATGTGACAGAGCTAGGAGCCACTGACTCACTACTACTGTGTTTTTTGAAGAACAAAGAGGGAGAAAAAAGTCCTTTCCAGTGTCATTCACACTTGACTCTACAATCTGCAGAGGAAGGAAAGGACGTTGGGAGGGAGTGGGGGATGTGAGAGGGCAAAGCAAATGTGCCACTGCCACCACGATGATGACGATGACACATTTAGTGCCATTCGAGGCTGAGGCGTGCGAGGCCTTAAACTGGCACAGCTCACACACAAGGAGAATACCTACTTCCCGTTGACGACTGTCGGAGAGGGTTGACAGTATCACAAAGAAACTGTGCGTGAAAGAACACCGCTGCATTTTGAAAAAGACGTTTAAAAAGACATTTAATTGCTTGGTTGTTCCGTTTGGTTGCAGGAAAGGATGCCAAATAATTTCTGTTTTAGTAGGAGGATACAAAAAACATGTGACTTAAACATTTACGTTATAAAACATCTCTAAACCTAAATTATAATCATGTGTGGCAGTTCAGAGGGCAGGGTAACAATCTTTCCTTGAGTTTAAGATTTACCAATTTGCCAACGGCGGTGGCAAAACATTGAACTGTGAATCACACCAAGAGGAGGTGACAGGGTGGGAAAACCACACCAAATGTCCCACTGAGTTTCTTCAAGCCTCACCCCACAATAACAACAAAGTCGGTAAACACTGCCATGTCTGCAGCCAGTACTATATAAGTTGAGTGAGCCATTATAAATCAGTAGCAGTGCCATAAAATATCATTCAACAAATCACACTGTGTCAAATGCATAAAGTGCACAGACTTATAAGATTATAAGGGAAAGATCTAGAAAGTGCTCATTACAGCTGTAAATGAGGGGTAATGCACACTGTAATTTGTGGTTACACAACATTTTACTAGATAATACTGATGATTTTCTGATGCTGCAGACAGGGTATGTAACTCGCATATTACAACAAGAGTCCTGACATTCAATTTGCCAAGATCCAGACATGTCAAATTAACACATTATCTTGACAGGTGTTAATAAGGGGTGTGAACAAATTGGTGCCACATATCCATCAGTTTCCAGTGTTGCTTTAAGGCTCTATTTTCAGAAGAATGCATGTGTATTTTTGGGTCATCAAGTTTGCAGCTCAATATTAGAGCACAGCAGAAGAATGCAGGCTGTGAGCTGTGCATCCATACAGAGGAAGCTCCTGATATGATCCTTATCAACGGCAGAGTATACTATGCACTCAGGCAAAGTTCACCTACAGCATAAAGTACACCACAAAGAAGTAAAATAGATGCAAATGTGCAAAAACACGACGCCAAAAATACATTTTTCTCCACATTCCGCTGTCCTGACGCTGCAAAAACAAACAAGTGGGTGCAGACGCTCAGCACTGCATGTTTTTAACTCTTTTTAAACACTTTTTTTTTTAAATGCCAAGCTACACAGTCGTCACGTTGGCTCTTTTAATTGACAAGAGGAAACTGTCAGCGGTAAAAACGACCCTGCATTTACAAGCTATTGGGGAGCAGAGGAGCGTTAGCTGTGCATGCTAGCCGCCCAGTCGTATCAGCTGAATATACTCTTTTAAACACAATTAGCTTTCTTTTGTTGTGTTGGCCAAAAATTAGCAACTTGACAGGAGTTATGCAGTCCGTTTTCTGACACTGAACAGCGTTAAAAGAAAAATACCCTGGTGCACAATATCACTGTGTCCATGCATGGCGCATTCAAAGCCCGCCAGGTGAAACACGGCTCCCTCCTATAGAGGCTGACACCGCATGCTGTCAGATGTTGACAAGCTGTCAATGGATGGTAATACCTGGGACCTGTTGACTCCTCCTCCCGGTCCCCTCGGGCTGCTGCTGCTGTTGCTGCTGCTGCTGGAAGTTCACCCGTGTTTCTCCGCGGTGGTACTCTCTATAAAGTTTTCTTCCGGCTCTCAAAATCTGCAAAACAGTGGCTCTCATAAACCCCCGAAATGGGCAAAAACCGCGCGGTGCGGAAAGAGACGGAGAGCCGCTTTTCAGAGAGAGGACAAGTTTGGCACGGCTCGCGCGGAGGCAACCATTGCAGTCACGTTCTCCGGCTGTGAAATCCAACACTGACTCTGACCCCGCCCCTTTGCTTTTCACTGGGCCAGTCCTCAAAAAGTGCTCCCTCCAGATGTGCTGAAACCATGTGAGGCAACAAGAAAAGTACAGTACTCTTTTAGTTGCATTTTTTCATCCTTTCTTTCTTTTTTTTGCTCATAGCTTCTTTATGCTTCGCCAAACTGCACAAACTCTCTTTTCTATTTTCAATCCAGCAGCCGAGACCAGTGATGGATAGTATAAAAGAACATTTACTCAAGCACTGTACAATTTTGAGGCACTCCAATACATTTCCAAAGCCAATATTGTACTTTGTACTGCTCTACATTTATTTGACAGCCTTTGTTACTAGTACTATACCAAATTATTTGTGCTTCACCAAAATGCAAAAACTCTCTTTTCTATTCTCAATCAGCAGCCGAGACCAGTGATGGATAGTTACAAAGTAGCTACATTTACTCAAATACTGTACTTTTATTGACAGCTTTTGTTGCTAGTTTATTTTTAGGTTTAGACTATTAACTTATACAAAATCTAAATCAATAATTAAATACACTTTGAAATATATTTATAGGTTAAGATATCCAGCAGCAGTATATACAGTTATTTCAATTAGCTGTACATTTACCAGTTGTGATAAAAACACATGAATAATCATAATAGTTACCCAGAAACTCAATACAAGATTCTGAAAAAGGCCATTACGCATAAGGAGTACTTTAAGTATATTTTGATGGCAATACTTTTATACTTTTACTTAAGTAAGATTTTTAATGTAGGACTTCTACCTATAATAACGTACTTTTAAAATATAGGATTGCCACTTTTACTTAAAGGGGACCTATCATGCAAAATGCACTTTTTCATGTCTTTTATACATAAATATGTGCCCCCGGTGTGTCGGGGAACTCACGAAATCCGCGTTTCTCTAACAGGGCTGCAAAAGAGGGGTATGAGCAGAGGCATGGCTACAATGGGTGATCTGTTTGGTATTTTAAGCAAACAACTTCACAGACATGTTTTGTATAGGTATGGCCCTATAATATATGTTTCCAATATAGCATAATAGGTCCACTTTAAGTAACACGTCTGAGTACCTCTTCCACCTCTGGCCAAGACTAAAGAGAGTTTATTGAGTTGTAAAATAACTATACTTAACCTCTAATGTAAGGTCAAAGTCAATGGGCTCCCCAGTGAATGTGTGATTATGTAACTTTTGATTTTTTAAAAGCTACAGTATGCATCCAAACTCAGGCTTGCAACAGAGAGTGTAACAAAGCCAAAGATATTAAAATAATCATTTTACTAAAGCCTCAAGATATGGAGTTTTGGCATGACATAGATCAAAAATGACTTTACTTTTGCAGAGAATATAATAAAATAACAATGCATTCATTATATAACCACGGTGAGTAACATCTACATATACAAACTTAAATGCCTCAAAAAAATGACATCTTACATAAATCATGATGTTTCCTTTATCTACCTTTTTCTATTTTGTCATTCCTTAAAAGCTTATATCAACTTATAAAATATCAACTCTTTATCATCGCTGTGAGACACCAGAAAACTGGAGAATTTTTCAGATTTCATTATGTATCATTTGTATAACATTTTAAAAGATCTGGCTATTCCAGCTCCTGCCCTGCTGAGAACATCATTAAAGGCTCTAAAATATCTTCCATCACAGATTGTGCTGTACCCTTTGTGACAGTGCATTTGGGCAGGCAGCTCCTTCTGTTAAACCCTGCACTCAGAGGAAGCTGCAACTCTTTTTATATTCAAAAACAAATTATACATTTGTCTTGCAGCGACCCAACAATGTGCTGCATTTATACTAAACCCTTTTTGATTGTGATAGTTGAAATCTATAATTTACATTTTATTCATGTGCAATATGTTAAATGAGATTTACTGTTGTGCATTTCTCGTTTTGTGAGAAATGTCTTAACTGTGGATGTTTGTAATTGCGAATGAGAAACAAATTCATGTGAAAAAGGAAGATAGCTCACAGAAAATAGTTTCTGTAATATGTAATCAGTTACTTAAGACAAAACAAGTCACATGTTTTGTGTGCACAATTATACCCATCGAGCTATATATTTTCTTCTCAATCAATTATAAAGTGGTTGTGTTTTTGCTAATTACTCACTAACAGCTTAAAAAATATAAATAATTCTCATCTTTATTTATATTGTACATTAAACCCTCTTTATATATTTACAGCACTGATAAGACAAATGGTCAATTCCAGTCAGCTAAAGCTGTGGTAATGTGTATGTTGTCCTTTTTTCCCCAGTGTATTGTCTATAAGAATAATTGGTTAATCAAAAATGTCAACAATAGTTTGATAATACTATATAATAGTTTGTAGACCTACTGTGTGTGCATCTGTGTTTGCGTGCGAAGGAGTTGAGTAAAGGTAGAGCTCAGGTTCTCTCCTGTCTCTCAGATATGACTGCAACACTCAATAGCTGTCCGCCCCAGAAAACAAAGTTTTGCGGCAGGTGTTAAGATGTGACACCCATTGTCCCATATCATCGGACAAAACGCCACCAGATAGCTTGTGACATACTTTGCCTCGTCGTTTACCTTCTCAGTTGCTTTTCATCTTTCCCTGGGAGCGCTGACACCGCTACAGAGGAAGTGCGGGCAACAGTATCCTCCTTGTTTCCCCTGTTGCCTTTAAGGCCCTCTTACACAAAAGCTGTGAGTGGCACTAAGCTGTGTCAGTTGTCACACATCACCACACAAGTGAGGAATGCAGTGCTGGGGGTGGTTGGTTGTGACATGGGACACACAGGCATGCGAGTAACCATGGACTGAGAGAGTTGTCAAAGGCTAAAAGTATGTAGTGGTGGAAGTAGCTGCTGTCATAACAGTGTAGTTGCAGAGGAGGAACTGTCTTATTTCCCTGCATTCTGACAGGTGGACCTGGGGCCCAGCATGCGTGAGTAGCATGTGTTCAGATGGGCTCGCCCGCTTTTACTAAACTGCAGCATGGGGATTTGTATTTGTAGCGTTTTTGTTTCCTCTACATATCTTTAGGTTGAATAGTAGGGCCTTGGGGGTCTCCTCCGCCCAGCTGCATCCTCCACTTGTAGCACACTGGAAGTAACTGGAGTTGAATCTTAATGGCTTACCGACCTTGTGAAGCTCCCCGCTACTTTGAGATACAGACTGCATTTCGACATGTACTGTACAGCCATGAAGACATGTCAAGTATAGTTAAAAGCCATGTTTCATTTCATGCTTTACATAACCTAACTGCATGCAAGCAAACCTCCAGAATGACAGGCTCAAGGCATTCGTTTTGTGTCTGGCTGTACGGAGACAGAAAATCTGAATTTGGGCATGCTTCGAAGATCCAAGATTGTTAATGCTGCCTTTAAACTATGTAGACTAGACAGACATTGACATGAAGGATTACGTACAGTATGCATACATAATGTAGGCCTCTGATTTAGGTTAGTGGAACACTTACTGGTTAGTAATCTTTCTTTTCAATTTGAGATAGCATTCATTACTTCATTAGTTCCCAAGCTGAGGGCCAGAATCCCTCAAGCGGCCAGACAATCCCAAGTTGATTAACAGAGGATAGGAAAACAAACAAAACTATACAGACTACATAAAATCCTACTTATTTTCCAGACTATCCTTTAAAGTTAGCTTTTTTATAGTCATGGATATGATAATTTGACCTTTAACCATTTAGTCCTCAGAAAAATATCCAAATAAAGTAAGGAAAATAAAATGGTGATGGTTCACTGGTACATCTGCTTGGTTTTAAAGGAATCGTTGGATGAAAAAAATTGAAATCACTCTTATTTCTGTACGTTAGGCTTAAATATTAAACCATTGCTAACAACCAATTAGCATAGCTTAAAGTTTGGAAACATAGGTGGTTTGGCTCTGACATAATCCAACTACTAGTACCTCTAAAGCTAATTTATTGCAGGACTATGTCTTAAAGCCTAGAGAATTTTTGAATGTATTTTCCACTGGAGCTTGTAAGCGGTCAGACTAACTGTTTATCCCCCTTCCCTGAATTATTGCTAGGCTAACCGTTACTTTCAGCAAGGCAGTGAATAAGCCCATTTAAAAAATAACGTTTTTATTCCTTTAATAAGTCATCAAAACAAAACTGCAACTACCTAACATGGACAAAGTCCTCCATGCTGAATGCTGCCTTAACGCTGCGATTCCCTCCTATGAAAACCTGACATTCTCTGCAGCAGGTCATTGTTACAGGACTTAACGTTTCTCTCATGTTTTTATTTTTACAAGGCACCTGGTGAGCCCCTTAGCAGGTGCTATGTTTCCGCCTCGAAACGCTGTGTGCTTATTTACTGTCCCTTGAAAATCCAGTGCTATTTCCAAAGTGGTGGTAACATTAGCCAGCCTGATCGATGCCTTCACCTCGAGCATGGGGCCACATGACATACCACATATCATGGCCTGGTTCACAGAGAAAAAGAGAGGGTGGCTCCACGTGTCGCCCACACCCAAAAGAAACATTTCCAGCACCCAAAATGTCATTGGACAATTACAGTGAGGCGTTTTAGGCATTGAGGCAACATGAGAGCCTCAATGCTGACGTCAGAAGGGCTGGTAGCCTTTCTTGGTATATACATTCGGATCTGAGAAACCATGAAGGTGCCAAGCCTTGTTGGTCAATCACCATCCACAGTCCTTTGGCTTTTAATGTGTCCAGCCTGCTGTTGCCTTCTTGAAAACACATATTTATTTGGATTTCCCAGCAGCCAACCATTCATCACTCTGCGACTCCCCTTTATTAGCTTGTCATCCACAGTGCAGGCAGGGTAATGTTGAAACCACAAAGCAGCAGAAAGCACTTCAAGGCAAGGATGAAGGTTAGACGCTTGGGCTAAATAAGAGTCTTTTTTAGCATATCAACATAAAATGAAGATCACACCACTTGGATGCTTAAAGAAAGCTTCCTTGCCAGTAGCAAAATGTGCCACCCGTGTCTATAAGTTT